ACTCACCTGTCACCTTAGAGTACAGGTACCACACCACCTGACTCACCTGTTACCTGAGAGTACAGGTACCACACCACCTGACTCACCTGTCACCTGAGAGTACAGGTACCACACCACCTGACTCACCTGTTACCTTAGAGTACAGGTACCACATCACCTGACTCACCTGTTACCTGAGAGTACAGGTACCACACCACCTGACTCACCTGTTACCTTAGAGTACAGGTACCACACCACTTGACTCACCTGTTACCTTAGAGTACAGGTACCACACCACCTGACTCACCTGTTACCTTAGAGTACAGGTACCACATCTCCTGACTCACCTGTTACCTGACAGTACAGGTACCACATCACCTGATTCACCTGACCCTGTTACCTGTTTTTCAGGCTGTACGACATGTGTGTGGAGGACCCCGCTGACATTGATTGGGATGAAGTTGCACGTACTGTTGGGTGAGGTCAAAGGTCAAACTCTTATATTTCTATTTTTGGACTGGACGAGGCTAGCTGCTTTCTAGTAACAGCAGCATGCTCCTGCAGGAGCTACATTATTTATTGAAGAGTGTTACCAAACTTCAGTTGATTTATTTTATTAGCTCAGTGTTAGTGTTAGCATTAGCGCTAAGTTAGTGTTAGCTTGCGCTTGGTGTTAGCTTTGTGTTAGTGTTAGCGCAGATGTTACTATTCAATTCATTTCAAGAATACTTTATTGATCCCAGAGGGAAATTAGGTAAGCTTCATGTTAGTGTTAACATTAGTGCCAACGTTAGAGTTAGCTCGGCATTAGTGTTAGCATTAGTGCCACTTTAGTGTTAACTCTGTGTTATTATTAGTTCAGTGTTAGCATTAGCACCAACATTAGTGTTAGCTAGGCGTTATTGTTAGCATTAGTGGCACATTAGTGTTAGCGTTAGCGCCACTTTAGTGTTAGCTCTGTGTTATTATTAGTTCAGTGTTAGCATTAGCACCAACATTAGTGTTAGCTAGGCATTAGTGTTAGCTAGGCATTAACATTGGTGGCACATTAGTGTTAGCTTGGCATCAGTGTTAGCATTAGTGCCACTTTAGTGTTAACTCTGTGTTGTTATTAGTTCAGTGTTAGCATTAGCACCAACATTAGTGTTAGCGTTAGCGCCACTTTAGTGTTAGCTCTGTGTATTATTAGTTCAGTGTTAGCATTAGCACCAACATTAGTGT